ATAAGCAGAACTGTTGTTGTCGATATTGATATCCTTCTTGAAAGAGCAACATATAGTTGTTCGTGCAAAAACATATTGCGGTAAATATAATCCAATATTTAGGATGTTTGTCCTTGTGCTTTATTTATTATAATTGCAACACATACACATACTGAAGTTATTTTCACACAAATTTAAAAGGATATTCTTTAGTTTCGAAAGACGAAAGTTGAATTTGGGGATACACACATACTTAGAAGCACATTGACCAGTATCATACTTTCTGCATGTATGACGTTATTGTCAAAACTTATATATATCATATGTGTGCTATTACATAAACTATTCGGCATATCTAAGTTTTTCAATAGTATGACGGGCATATTTTTCTTCAAAATCGAACTATTTGCAACGAAAAATTAGTTTTTAACTTAGTTTTTAATGTGTACGATGATACTAACATACGTAAGAAATGAACTTAACAACAAACTTGTATGGTAGAAGGCCATTTGGTATTAATATATTTAAGTATTCTCCGAGGTAGTAATTGGTATCATATTCTGCTGAGTCAAAAATTTAAAAATATTTTATTTTTACCATAAAACTTAGTAATCAACCTTTTATTTAGTTGATCAACATATTCATTTCTGCTAGCTATGATAGTTCTTTAATTTCTATCATGTAATTTGCACAAATTGCATTTTAATCTAATGATGAAAATATCTCCCTGATTAAATTCACTACTATTACCATTGGGGTTGATAACCAAGTGTTCTGGAAGAACCAAATCATCTTTTATTAGATGGTCTACTTTGTTTCGGAGACGAAGCAAGAAGTCACTGAATGTTGGATCTATTCTTACTTTTATATTTTTCGTCAATTGAATCATCTTCATTTGAGGCCATAAGCATAATTTTGGCAAGTTAGCTTTTACAGTCTCTGCTTTCGTCAATTTTGGAACTACTGGTAGTACTTGACATAAATCACTTCCTAAACCATTACTTTTCCACCAAATATTCATTCATATCTAATATATCTCTAAAACTCCGAGCAATTATTTCGATCATTTGATGCTTAGCCGTAAGCGCTTAATTCCATATTATAAATTTTACATTCCTAATAAATTTGTTTTGATATATTTGTGATGGTTGTTTCAGTTGTTTGAAGAGGTATATCAAATCTAAAGTGAGTTGTACGACCTCAAAATAAAATCGTTGGTGGTACACCACTTGTTATTATTACTAACAATATCATGCCTTTTGATCTGACATTTGCAAGTAATGCATAACATAACAATATTATTTCGATTCCGCCGGAGGAGTCTACACAGGATAATCCCGTTAAACCAGAGTCGTCTCTTTATAATATGGTCTTGAAAGCTTATTCCTGTTTAGAATTTAGCTTTGATTGTGCTTCCTCAAACATTTGTATGGCCTTTTGATTCTTANGGCTCAAGCACATAATGGGGAGAATGGGAAGTGGGAATTGATTGAGTTAAGGAGTTCAATGAACCCAGTTCAGGATCATAGACAGCAATATTGGGGTGCTGCTATGCCCTGAACAATAAACTCACATACAAAGGGGTAAAAGGGTAAAGGGGATTCACAGAGTATCAAATTCATGACAAACAATTGATTACACACATAACTTAAATACAGAAATATAAAGGAGAGGGAAACAAATATCAACTAAAGGAAATAGGCAGAATTAAACACATTGTTGTTGAGGCATGTAAACTAACTGAGACATACCAGTAGAGAAGCAAAAGAAGTGCAGAAGAAAGTAAAGTAAACACAGTCCACAGCAGCACAAGTATCAAAAGAGAGAGTTTTAAGTGAAATTGAATTGTGAACTCAGATGGTGTTCTGTGTTCGTGTGTGTAGGAAAAGTCTGTGAAAAGCCTCTGTAAAACTCTCCTTTAGTGCAAAAGGGCAGGCCCTTTTATAGTGCAGAAGATGAGTAAGAAAAAGGTAAGAGAATAGTTTTGAAATCAATCACAAGCTGTTTCCCTTTGGTTAAGGGATTTGATTCAAACGGGCAAAAATAAATAAGGAAAGGATTCGTTTTAAAAATCTTTTCTAAAGCAGTGTAATAGGGACAAATACACAGCAGTTTATTTAAGGAAATAGTCTAGTAGCACACGGTTTGGGCAGAACAAGGAAAGACAATCAATCAACAGCCAGTAAAATCAGGGTTCGAATCTTAGTGTGAATGAATCCAACCAGAAAAGGTGAGAAGGGGTTTAATTTAAAGAAAATCAACAGTACAAAACCTTTTAAAAAGGAACTCGGAATCAATCACAAGCTGGCCAAAGGCCTTTTGAAAGAAGAGAATTTGTCATATAAAAAGCATACAGACATGTGAGACAAGAGAGAGTTGTCGTAAAACTAGCAAGAAATCAGAGTGACCAAGAAGGTTAGGTTCGTAGACTCAGAATGAGCCTGAAAGAGAGTCAAGGGTTCTGAATGGAACCCTAGACCAAACACAAAGTCAAGCCTGCCAAAAACCCCAAATACTAGGGTTTCTGACTCGAATCAGATGCATAGACGAGAAAACAACAAATAGAACAGGCTCAGTAGTCTCTTTCAGAGACTTATGAGAAAACAAACAGAGAGAGCAGCAAGTTTGAAACACAGGGAATACATTTCGGCAAAACATGGCACTCAAACAAGTTCAGGAGAGAAAAAGCGATACAGGTTTAGGAAAAACAGTAGACGGAACTCGCTTAGAGTTCAAACAAAAGTTCAGTGAAGGCAAACAAGGATTAGAAGCTTAGTAAACTACAGTAAAGAAACATACGAGATAGACATGTAAAGCATGCTTATAGAGCCCGATAGAAGAAAGAACAGAACACAAAAAATAGAAGAACATGCATAATATGGCAAAACATAAGAACATAGGAGCATACATGCGAGGAAAGAACACAAGAACATGGCATAGACAGATTCACACAAAGAAAAGAAGAAGAAGAAAAGTCAGAAGTCGTTTTAAGATTTTCCGAAAACCCTAAATTGAAACAGACTAATTTTGAAAAGAAAATTGGGGAAAAGCTTTAAAACATTGAATATAGCACAGATCCACCATAGATCTAAGTAAATAAACGAGGAAGGAACCTCGAATAGCCTTAGGTTTTCTATGAAACAATGAGAAGGCTTGGAAGAGGTCTGGTCTTGAGTCAGAGATGGCCATGACTAGGCTTCTAAAGCTCGAATACGTCGGAATGGGGCCGGAGAGGCCACAGAACACAGATCTGTAGGGGATCTGAACGGACGCCGTCGAGGTCAGACCTCGAAATCTCGAACACCCATGGTTTAGGGGTGAAGGAAGGTGAGCACAGGTCGTCCATGGCCTGAAAAGCCATGGACTCCGGCGAGATAATGGTCGGAGAAGACGAGGGAGGCGATTAGGGTTTGAGTGTTTGAGAGCGTTTGAGACAGAAGAGAGTTTGAAGGCGGCTGCCGAAGAGAAATGGGGATTAGGGTTAGGTCATGTGGAATTAAAAAGGAAAGAATCATTTGTGGCCGTTGATCAAAAGGATCAACGACCTGGATTTAAAAGAACCCCGGGCGGGTTTAGCAATTGGGTCAGGGGTCGGGTGAGAAATCAAATTGGGTCGTTTTGATTTGGGGGCGGATTGGGCCAAAATTAAGGCTAAAATTGAAATGGAATTGGGGCTGCAATTGAAACGAAATGGGACTACATTTTAAATAGCCAGTTTTTTCCTTTTTATTTTATAAAAATAGTGAATGATTTTTAAAAGAAAATTGAAGATGCTGAACCAATTAATAATACATATGTATTAATTTAAAAATATTAGAACTAATTTTACAATTATAAAACACTATAAATCGTAAAATAGGCTATAATTGCCTTTATATGCAATTAGCTTTAAAAATACCAAACAAATTTGTAAAAATATACAAAAAATTACCTTAATTATGTTTGGTGTAAATATGAGAATAAAATAAGTTATTCACAAAAAAAATGATAATTTTGGGAATAATTATTGGATTTTGTACTGTTAAAATAGACAATAAATTGATTTAAAAATAAGGAAAAATACCAACACTCTTGGGAATGCNACCCTCCTTCCTTTCATTTTCCTGAAGTAGTTTATGTGTTCCTGAACAATGATGGCATTGTCACAGGCCCTTCTATTGCTTAAGAAGCTTGCTTGGCTTGGGCCTATGATGTGATTCATGATGGGTTTGATTCTATTCACAATGATCTTGGTTACTGTTTTGTAAATAGTATTACAAAGACCAATGGGTCTGAAGCTTTTCAGCATTGAGGCTTGGGGAACTTTTGGGATTAGACAAACAAGAGTTTGGTTTATGGTGCTGTCCATGGAGGAGGTATTGAAGCATTTCATGCAGAATTGTGAGACAAACTCTCCTACTATGTCCCAGTATTTTTGGTAAGAGAAGGGGTGGAAACCATCTGGGCCAGGTGACTTAAATGGTTTATTGGAGAAGACAACCTTTTTTATTTCAGCCATTTGTGGGGGTCTGTCCATGAATGTTTTGTGGTTTGGAGCAGGGTGGGTTCCAAGGTGGAGTGATTGGTGACTTCCCAAGGTACATGAGTGAGAGATGTGGTGTAAAGCTTGGAAAAGAAATCTACAATGGTGGACTGGATTTCCTGGGGACCAGTGATCCAGTTTCCATTGTCTTCTTTTAGGGAGAGGATCCTATTTCTCCTTCTTCTATTCAGAGTAGAAGTGTGGAAAAATTTTGTGCTGGCATCTCCCTCATTGAGCCAGTTGATCCTGGATTTCATTTTCCAGAAGTCCTCTTCATTCTTGAGGATGAGGTTTAGCTCATCATTCAGCTCAGACTCAAGGTTTTGAAGAAATCTGCTGAATTGATAGCTATTAGACCTTTGGATGCCATTGATTCTGGCAAGGAGTCTATTTTTTGGGTGGAAAATGTTGCCAAACACTTCCTTATTCCATTTGGTTGCTAGCTTTTGAAATTCATTTATGGAGTGGAGCAGACCTGGGTGGTCTTGGAAGGCGTGGCTTATGATGTTAGGGAAGGATGGGTGGCTAGCCCACATTGTTTCAAATCTGAAGGGCCTGGATAGTTTATTGTTTGGGGGCCCTTCCATTTGGATTTTAAAGGGCACTGATCAGTGTGGGTCCTAGGTAAGTGAAGTACACTAGCCTCAGGGTGTTGCTTGATCCAACCTTCATTCGCAAAACACCTATCAATCCTTTCCAGGATTAGGGTATTACCGCTGGTGTATCTTTTATTAGTCCAAGTGTATTTACTACCTTTGTAACCCAAGTCAATAAGATTACACTTATTTATGTAATTCCAGAATTGGTTGCTACGGTTTAAGTTTATAGGGTTTCCCCCAAACTTATCCCTAGCTTTCAAGACTTCATTGAAGTCTCCCCCAATGAACCAGTTATGAGTGGTTGTTCTAGCTATAGTTGTTAGCTGCTCCCATAGGAGCTTTCTTTCAGAGATAAGGTTACTTGCGTAAATAGCAGAAAAAAGCCACGGAGGATGGTCAGGTTTTACCTTCACCATAGCATGTATTCCTTGGGGTGTCGTGACCACTTCCTCCACAGCCACTAACTCTTCTTTCCACATGAACACAATGCCCCCTGATAAGCCTACCGCTAGAGATTGGATGATTATCTCAAAATCCAGAGCTTGAGCCAGCGCTTGATGGTTGGCCATCTTGGTTTCTAGCAGCACCAGCATTGCCGGCTTAAGCAACCTAACCATTTCAAGACAGTGTCTTTTAAACTCAGCGTCGTTGCCCCCCCTAACATTCCATATGATTTAATTCATTAATGGGGGGCTATGGGTGATGGGGTAGATCCCTCCTGGGGACTTATTGGGCTTGGCATGTTGAGCACTCGAGGGGGTGGTGATTTCCTTTTCAGGTTCAGGATGGGGGTTAAGTTCAACAGGGGTTTGAGCTGACCTTGTGTGTGGGCTAGGACTAAGCTCATTCCACATTTGGATATCACCCTGGGACACAAGACCACCACTACTTCGCTCACTTGAGTACTGAACTCGATCGATCTCACTGAGTCTAGCAACATCGAGTCCGTTGTTGGTGGTAGGTAGCTTTGCTCCGGCTCCTTTGAAGCATCCTCTCCTTAAGAATCTCCAGTGATGTGGTGATTTCTCGATGGATGTTGTGCAGTGGGGGTGAGGGTGGTGTTTTCTTCGCATGCGTTGTCTTGTGGATTGGTGGGATGGGGAGTTGGGTGAAAGAAGGCTCCGTCGCTGGATCCTCCTTCATCAAGTCCGGGAAGAAGGGAAGTGATTGAAAGATTTGGAGAATATTGTTGTTTAGGGTTTGTGGGTCTGTGATTGGGGCTAGGCTGTCGCTGTTGGCCATCGACTGCCATAGCATTGGTCCAAACACCGTCAGGGCCTTGTTGAGGGCTTCCACTGTGACTCTCGAAAGGTGTGCCGGGTTCTGCACAATTAGGGTGACTTTCTTGCTGTCGGTTGTGAATTCGTAAGAGAGTCCCTGTCCCTGCAATGCCACCTCCAACCAGGAGGCCGGTTGGTGGTCCGGTGGTAATGGGTGGGTGGTGATTGTGGCTGTGGTCAGATTTTTTGCCATTTTTGTGCTTTTTGGCTTTGCTAGTTTTAGAAAGGATTGAAGTGGGGAGAGACGACTGATTTCCCATCATAAAGCTCCCTAGTGTCACATCTTGGAAAGTGGACAGGCTTCCCTGTTTTAGGATTAGGGTTTTTGGCCGGTCATTAATTATGGATGTAACGGAGGTGGCCCTTGGGGTCTTTTCGATTGTTGAAGGGGGAAGTTGCAGACAGGGCACTCTATTGCCATATCTGTCGCTTGGGTTTTCTCCATTAAAGGCATTCACAGTAGATGTGGTAGGGGAAGAATAGACTTTGGGGCCTAAGGTTTCCGGTTCATTTGATTGCATGCGGATGGCCCCATTGGGCACGCTACTTGAGGTAATAATTGGTGCCTCAATAGTTGAGCTGGATCCCACTGGTGGTTTGGGCTGGTGGGTGCTAATTGTGGGGTCTTCAGAATTGAGCACCGCTTTCCTTTTAGAGCCCGTGTTGTGCAGCTCTGTTGGACTTGGAGTAGGCACGTGCCTTGGCATTTTTGGGCCGCTGGTGGTTATTTTTGTTGGTCCTTGTTGCCTATTTGGGAGTTTTTGGGTACTGTTTATCTGATTTTTAACGTTGTAATTAAAAGCTTTGGGTTGGGGGGGCTTACCTGAAAAGTCATCGGACTTATTTACCTGGCTTTCCTCTGCCTGCATATTGTTGTGTTGTCTAATAGGTTGACCTTCCGCATTTGGAGATGTTTTTAGCTGTCCCTGCTTCCGTCTTCTTGGGAATATTACTGTCTTCCATTGGCTCTCCTCCGGTGGGGAGTCCGTTTGATGGTGTTGCTGAGAATCATTGGCTGCTACTGGTTGACGTTGGCTGTATGTACATCTTATGGATGTGTGTCCTATCATCCCACAACTTGTACATAGTGTTCCTTCTCCTTCATAAATCACTGATTGTTTATGGTCACGAATGATCACTGATGTTTCCACTGGCGATTCCAATGGCACTTGGATGCAAATGCGTNGGCTGAAAACATTAAGACCTTAGAGACCAGTTAACAGATTGTTATTGCTTAAGAAGAATCGGACGAACTTGATGCGGAATCCTATGATATCTATATCTGATTTAAAAAAGTCTATTAAGAACTGGTAAGAAGAGGTAATTATTTAATTACCCTACAGTTTGCCTAATGCATATGCATTCCCTATAGGCATGATTTCTATATGCACTGATTACATGAATGTTAAGGTCCTATAGGCAGGATTTCTAGATGACTTATATCATAATTAAACGTTAAACCCTATAGGCATGGTATCTAGGTGACTTGAATCAGAAACATCGACCCATCTTATGTGCAGTATTTCTAGTAGAAAAATTAAAGTCCTAAAGTCATGATATCTACCATTTATTGATGCAAGAAAGTAAAACCCCTCCCACACCCTTTTACTAGATTCCCCGAGTTCTATACAAGTTATTACAACCCAATGAATCAACTGAAATAATAAAAATACATCAAAAACTAACAGCTAGATCCAAGCAGCCTAATTCAATCTTAATGTCCAATAATATGTAGTTAACCAACTCCGGGGTCCAGATCTCCAAAGCCTTCTCATTATCCAGGGTGTTTCAAAGAACCTCAGGGATTCCAGGCATTGCTTACACCCAGGATGCCAATATGAACAGGATGGTGCAGTGTGGAATAGCCAGCCCTCAGGCATCCAAGTTCAGAGGGAGCTCAGGGGTCCTAAACATGGCTTGCAAGAGAGGGACAGAACTTATAGCTAGGTTAGATGAACAAGTTAGGAGCAGACCTTTTGATGGTCAGACCAAGGTCTGGATAGTGATTAGGACACTATCAGAACTAAGACAAGGCTCAAGCACATAATGGGGAGAATGGGAAGTGGGAATTGATTGAGTTAAGGAGTTCAATGAACCCAGTTCAGGATCATAGACAGCAATATTGGAGTGCTGCTATGCCCTGAACAATAAACTCACATACAAAGGGGTAAAAGGGTAAAGGGGATTCACAGAGTATCAAATTCATGACAAACAATTGATTACACACATAACTTAAATACAGAAATATAAAGGAGAGCGAAACAAATATCAACTAAAGGAAATAGGCAGAATTAAACACATTGTTGTTGAGGCATGTAAACTAACTGAGACATACCAGTAGAGAAGCAAAAGAAGTGCAGAAGAAAGTAAAGTAAACACAGTCCACAGCAGCACAAGTATCAAAAGAGAGAGTTTTAAGTGAAATTGAATTGTGAACTCAGATGGTGTTCTGTGTTCGTGTGTGTAGGAAAAGTTTGTGAAAAGCCTCTGTAAACCCCCCCCCCCCTAGTGCAAAAGGGCAGGCCCTTTTATAGTGCAGAAGATGAGTAAAAAAAAGGTAAGAGAATAGTTTTGAAATCAATCACAAGTTGTTTCCCTTTGGTTAAGGGATTTGATTCAAACGGGCAAAAATAAATAAGAAAGGATTCGTTTTAAAAATCTTTTCTAAAGCAGTGTAACAGGGACAAATACACAGCAGTTTATTTAAGGAAATAGTCTAGTAGCACACGGTTTGGGTAGAACAAGGAAAGACAATCAATCAACAGCCAGTAAAATCAGGGTTCGAATCTTAGTGTGAATGAATCCAACTAGAAAAGGTGAGAAGGGATTTAATTTAAAGAAAATCAACAGTACAAAACCTTTTAAAAAGGAACTCGGAATCAATCACAAACTGGCCAAAGGCCTTTTGAAAGAAGAGAATTTGTCATATAAAAAGCATACAGACATGTGAGACAAGAGAGAGTTGTCGTAAAACTAGCAAGAAATTAGAGTGACCAAGAAGGTTAGGTTCGTAGACTCATAGAGAGTCAAGGGTTTTGAATGGAACCCTAGACCAAACACAAAGTCAAGCCTGCCAAAAACCCCAAATACTAGGGTTTCTGACTCGAATCAGATGCGTAGACGAGAAAACAACAAATAGAACAGGCTCAGTAGTCTCTTTCAGAGACTTATGAGAAAACAAACAGAGAGAGCAGCAAGTTTGAAACACAGGGAATACATTTAGGCAAAACATGGCACTCAAACAAGTACAGGAGAGAAAAAGCGATACAGGTTTAGGAAAAACAGTAGACGGAACCTGCTTAGAGTTCAAACAAAAGTCCAGTAACCGCAAACAAGGATTAGAAGCTTAGTAAAATACAGTAAAGAAACATTCGAGATAGACATGTAAAGCATGCTTATAGAGCCCGGTAGAAGAAAGAACAGAACACAAAAAATAGAAGAACATGCATAATATGGCAAAACATAAGAACATAGGAGCAGACATGCGAGGAAAGAACAAAAGAACATGGCATAGACAGATTCACATAAAGAAAAGAAGAAGAAGAAAAGTCAGAAGTCGTTTTAAGATTTTTCGAAAACCCTAAATTGAAACAGACTAATTTTGAAAAGAAAATTGGGGAAAAGCTTTAAAACATTGAATATAGCACAGATCCACCATAGATCTAAGTAAATAAAAGAGGAAGGAACCTCGAATAGCCTTAGGGTTTCTCTGAAACAATGAGAAGGCTTGGAAGAGGTCTGGTCTTGAGTCAGAGATGGCCATGACTAGACTTCTAAAGCTCGAATACGTCGGAATGGGGCCGGAGAGGCCACAGAACACAGATCTGCAGGGGATCTGAACGGACGCCGTCGAGGTCAGACCTCGAAATCTCGAACACCCATGGTTTAGGGGTAAAGGAAGGTGAGCACAGGTCGTCCATGGCCTGAAAAGCCATGGACTCCGGCGAGATAATGGTCGAAGAAGACGAGGGAGGCGATTAGGGTTTGAGTGCTTGAGAGCGTTTGAGAGAGAAGAGAGTTCGAAGGCGGCTGTCGAAGAGAAATGGGGATTAGGGTTAGGTCATGTGGAATTAAAAAGGAAAGATCATTTGTGGCCGTTGATCAAAAGGATCAACGGCCTGGATTTAAAAGAACCCCGGGCGGGTTTAGCAATTGGGTCAGGGGTCGGGTGAGAAATCAAATTGGGTCGTTTTGATTTGGGGGCGGATTGGGCCAAAATTAAGGCTAAAATTGAAATGGAATTGGGGCTGCAATTGAAACGAAATGGGACTACATTTTAAATAGCCAGTTTTTCCCTTTTATTTTATAAAAATAGTGAATGATCTTTAAAAGAAAAT